AAATGCAAACAAGATTAATCCGTGAATTAATCTCTTACTTTTTTTTTCTTCGGAGACAATCGAGAATGCACGTGGCAGAGATTTCGCCGCAAGATACCGGAAAGAGGAAGAATGGACGGAAATTGCGCAAAGTTCAGTCGAGCGTGCGTATCGAACGCATCAAATCCGATTGTCCTGCGCGTCTAACATAATCTCGTTTCGCTACGTGCTCAATGTCACGGAATGTTTAATATCGTGAAACGCCAAATATATACGAGGTTAATTTAACAAAATCACATCCAGGTAACAAGCGAACTTCCGCGGACAAAGTCATGCATCATACCCGCGAGAAGTAATATTTAAATGAATATTAATCCCTTTTTCATTGAATTGAAAAAGTTCAGCTTGGTGAATATGATACGATTCGTTTGCCGGTAACATTTATTAATTAAGAAGGATTTGTTCGTTACATTTCTGCATTGTTTTGCTGCGGTGGAAGTGACAAGGATTTATGAACAGAAAATGCTTAGAGAAGTAGTTACAGAACGTTTAAGCCAGATAAATGATTCAAATCCTTTAACCGGTGACAGTCTAAAGAAATATTATATCTGGTGTATGAAACTTCGCGGTATCTAATGCTTGACATAGGCGTGACATAGTAACAACACCGTTCTATTCTAATACAATATTATAGTAACTAACAGATACTCGATTTTCATACGATAATTCTACTTTCGTACGATTGGCTATTTCGTACTGTGGTTAAAAAGTTAAATTTTTATCGATATTTGTTGCGCGAATGATTGGTAAATGCTCCAGATTCGCGTTCATAATGCGAAATATGAATTTTTTAATTTTCTTGTTCCGTGCAGAATTTTCCGTGAAACGAACACTTCAGTCGTAAATTGTGAAATATTTCGTACTTCCGACTGCCAACATTTTTTTTTTTTTTTTTTTGAAAAGTACGAAAGATTATCCGGATGACGTTCGTTTAATATAAAAATTTATATACACGTGAATTTATGTCCGTGTGATAGATAAATATCGTATATATATATATATAATCATTTGTAATCTATCCACACGTATTAAAACTGAAAGTGCGGAATGTACTGCAAACGTTTGAAAAACTAATACTTTTGTACTAATATTTGATACAGAATTTCTCGCTTGCAGATCGTCTCGTTAAGCGAGCGGAATCGCGGCTCAATTCGGCAGAATGAAAACTCGTGTAAGCGCTGTGTCGTCGGAGGATTTCCAACGGGGAAACTAATATCTGTTAAAGAGAACAGAGAATTACGGTTGAACGCTTCTGTTCGTCCATTTTCGAATAAATGGTAAGAAGGCGGAGCCTTCGACGAATAATTTACCATAATCCAGCGATTATAACAGCTTCAACTAACTTCAATTTCTCATTCCTCTAAGGACAATTAAGTGTAGCACTTGAAGAGACGTCAGAAGAATTCTTTAGATATATTTTTAAATAAACCTGCACCGTACGTTTCTCAATTTTATGCTACGTGAAGATTACATCTTCTGCGGTTTGTTTGATGTTTCACGATTAGATTAAAAATGTTTATACGTGCTTGGAAAATTCCAAAAATTCATACGAAGGAATGTGTTTTAATAGTGTTTAAAATGTTTAAAAGTAAGGCGCTGTGCGATATTTTAAAATATCACTCACAATATTTAACAGGTGAAACAAATTTCTGTTGATCAATTTGTGCAATAAGTTCATTCGTATCTGTTCAAAAATATCTGTTAAATGTATTTCGACTAAAATCAAAATGTTTTTCCATTTATCCTATTTCTCTGTGAATATGTACATGAGAAATTCAAACGTAGATATCCTTCGACAATTTTTATGGGTGAATGGGAACTATATATATTTTCCATTTTAAAAGAGGATGCAAACGAAAACTTCGAAACTTCAAAACTTCTATTATTAGCCTCTCGTCTTATTATAATCGTCGAATTACACCGATGCTATAAAAATATAATTTCGATTTGAAAGGAAAGGCAAGTCGCGATGCTACGAAATTTCGCTTTCGATTTTAAATTTAGTATCATTGAACATGTAATACCTTGGCGCTTTATACCTGAAATAACACAAATTACAAATCACAAGTGATACAGCTTATTCGCGAAGAATAAAAAGGAAATCGTAAGACAAGGGTGTAATACCTTGTTCTGAAATTTACACAAAATGACACACTGGTGGACAGCATGGTGCCAAAAATGTAAAAGAAAAAAGCAAAGAAAATTGTCTCTCTAGATCGCGACAAGTTGAAAAGTCAAATTGGAACGTGTTAATCATTACAGAAAATTGCGCATTCGTTCGTGCAGTTGGCGACAAATCGATTTCGTGCCACTCCGTTAAAAAACACGTCAAATGGATAATCCCTCCAACAAAGTCCGCGAATGCGTGAGAACGAGCGCGCCTTAATTAGCATCGTTTCCGAGCTAACACGTACTTCGACGAGTTCTTCGAACGAACCTTAGACAACTTTCGAAATAATTTCCAATTGAATGGGTTGCGCGGACGAGGGAAGCCAAGCCTTCCCCGTGAAAAAAAAAGTTTCGCAAAACGAGAGCTGCAATTTCTCAAACAAGCACCGCCGAGCTATAATAAACCTTACTGATCTGAAGGACGAAGTTTCCGCTGTTAGATCGGAGCAACTAGTCGGATCTTTTGTTAAAAAGTCCGGTAGTCTTAATTCGGTTTGTTCCTCCGGAGAACGTCTCGCAAGAGTCAATGGGCGTTTCCGGTTCAGAGACAGCCCGTCGCTTTTAACGATCGACACCGGGACACGATAGTGTTTATTGTGTTTCATTTGCGCAATCGACATCACGTCAATTCCCTTTGCTCAACCTCTTGCGCTGGAATGACGTGCCGAACTTTTTCTTTTTTTTTTTTTTTTTTTTTCCCAAATTGCAACATTTTTCTCCGTTTTATGTATGTTCAAATGTAATCCAGGCAAAACAAATGATACGTTGATTACTTCTTAATAGTTTCTATCCAGTGATATCACGGACGAGTTCAAAAGAAAAAGATAGCGACCAGCGCAATGTGTTGAAAAAATTGCATTACGTCACGGAAGTATTCCTTTCTAAAATTGTGCTGCGAAAAATTGGTCGAGAGTGATGCAGTGGAATATTTCTTCCAATTTCAGACGAATGAACGTAATAGAATACTATATTCTACTTTCCCTTCGTTTCCCTTCTGCTTCGTACGTTATTATGTAATATCGGTCTCAATGTGGAAATGACAATGAGCGAGATCTCGAAAAAAATTGAAACACATTTCGATGAATGAATATTGACGAAGAGACTATTCTTTCAATTTCTAACTTTCAATTATTTATGTTCTTATTCATTTTGCATCGCTTGATCTAATTCTAACTCACTTTCACTCAACGATCGCTTATCGATTTGGTTTGCCAATTTTCGTTTCGTTTATAAACGAGCAAAAGAGTTTTGTAAGCGAGAGATCTTTTCACATTCTGCTCGGCTAATTTCTTCATACTTGATTGTACCTGAATTTGTGGTATTTAAATTTTGGCAGTGGTAACTTGTCGTTAAAGGGATTTTCGTAGAATCCCTATTCCCGTAAATTCGCGCTTAAGCGGTTCGCACATATAGATCTTTCGTCCTAATGCCGAATATCTTCCGCTTCAATTACCGATGTGCTAAGTGGCGTAATTAATAGCTTTGAGTAAGCATACACGTATCGAAACACATATTAACTACCTCCTTTACCGAGCGAATCTTTTCACAAATTTTTGTCATCGATTCAAACTAATTTTCTGTCCCCGATTGTTTTATAACACTTATCGTGTACAAATATTCAGGCACTTGTAAATTATTACATTAGATTTCAATGAATCTCCTTAATATAATCCTAACCTATACAGTTAACAGATATTCATAAAACCAGTAGCTAATATTAGACATAACAATTAAGTGGCTGATATATCTCCGTTGTTTGAAATTTTAGAACGATTGAAATATTTGTTTCTAACCAATCAATTATTTATTCAGAAGTGAATAAAAGATTTGAAAATTAATAGTAGAAGAACGTTCGTCAACGTTCGTAATTGTCGAAACGTAATTTCCAATAAAACTATCAAATAATGGAGTTTGGACTAGGTTGGACAATTATTTGTGTACGTTAGCGTAAATTTTATTATCGATTTACTGACCTAAAAGTGAATATCTTTATTATTAAAGTGGAGATTGCCGAGCAGTTTACGCAACAATTCAAGCTAAAGATCCAAGATAGAGCACGTGTACGATCTCTTTTTTTCTCTTCAAGGTATCGTCTTTTCAATCTTTTTCAAACGCCACTGTAAGAGAGTCTATTTTAAGCACGAAGGATTCAAATTGTTTTTCGAGCGTTATAATATTATTAAATAAATGACGTTACGCGATTTAAAAAGCAATTTACACGCACGTGCATACGTGGATGAAGTTTTCAAAAGGTGTAAATCACAGTAGCACTTCTGTTTTTCGAATATCTTATTATAGTGAGAAGAATATTAATCGTTATTAAAACTGGATCAGGTTGTCTACTAAGTAAGAACTGATTTTTCAATTACTGGCGAAAAATTTTTCGTAATAACAGTTAATTAAATAATAGCATGTAAGTAAAAATAGTAATAAGATATTCGAACAAGAAAGTACCAATTTTTCACTCCAATGATTCATACATTACGAAAAACAACAATAAATGATTTCTCTTTTATTCTTTAAACCGTTAAAACTAATTTAATTTTGTCAAAATGCAAATTTTACACATGCAAAAGTTTTCAGATATTTGAACGATTTCTCGTGAAATGTGGGGAAATAAAAACTTGAATATCACAAAGTTTCTCCATTTCTTTTTTACCCGATCGATGAAAATCGTTGCTATAATCGTTGGTAGTTCTAGTGTTAAAATATTATATATACTAGGAATTCAAAGAAGCAAGTTACTGGTAAATTATCTACGGAAAATTACTTATTGAAGTCGAGTGACTCACGTCTGTTGATGAAATGGAAATTGCCAAAAAAGCCGGTCGCATTAGACGGAGATCCCTGTGTGTGAAGCTCTAAAATAAGCGTAGATCTTGAACTGTAGAGAACCTGCGGGATGTCGTGCAGATCACCGCAGAGCACGCCGGACCAGGGGGTGTATTCGGAAACACCGCTGGTTTCTAAATGTAGAAACACCTTTAAAAAGTCACCTCCCACGCAGCTGGAACATAAATCAGTCGCAAGCTGTTAGTAATCTCTTCAAAGAAAGATTATTTCACGCGTACACATGACGCAGGCGTGACGCGTAATTATTAGACCATGAATTTTGTTGAAATCATGAGAAATTTAGAAAAGTAAAGAGGCACGAAACTGATAGAAAATATTCAAAATGCTCAAACGTGGAAAATATTTAAAATAATCGTAATTCTTAAGAAAAAAATTTCGTTACGTTCGTAAAAATATGAATTCGCATGGAAGTATGTAAGTAATTGTGTGCATTTGTGTGAGATATCAAGTTCATCAGAGTGAAAGAAATCGTTGCCAAAGATTAGTTAATTTTGCTCATTATGAAAATATTCGAATCAAAATTTGCAACTTATCGAGTTTTCAAGAATTTTAAGTTTCACATTTTCAAGAGGATTCGAATAATTTTCTTAAGATCCTTTGTCGCCAAGTTCAAGTTGTTCATCACTAGAAATTCCCACTGTTGTTCTTCGAGGAGAAAATACGGTCTTTCGAGATGCTGCATTAATTTCAGATTCTGCCAACTGAATAATACAAGCTCCGAACCAGGGAAAATCGTTTGATAGCAATCAAGCTCCTAATACATAGAATAGTCACAACCGTAGAACAATTACTGGTGCAATCAAGCTTCAGAGAATAGCAGTAAGAATTTAGAACAGTGAAAATCACCAAAGCAATTAGGTTTCAGATTTCGTTTGCAAGATGTTGAATACCAATAATTTTATTAACCCTGTTACGATCTTTTTCTATTTTCAATTTTTGTATTTTACTCTCATTCTCGTCTCACAAAACAAAAAGGAAGTTTTAATGAAATTTTTAACGAGACGTCAAGATTTCTTTTGTTCAAAGAGAAGATATTTATTGTCGTTAGAAAGTATTAAAAATATCATTGGATAATAAATAATCGAGAAAGCATGGGAGAATTAAAAGTGAAGTTGATTGAGCTTTCAATTTTTATATTTTTACATCTCATACTCGTTTTACAAAACGGATAGAAAGTTTAAAAAAAAAATTTGAAACGTGATTTCAAAATTTTATTATCTAAGAGTTTTATTATTATTATAGCTTAAATATATAGCTTGAAGAACGTAGAGTTAAAAGTGGAGTGAAAGTGTAATTCTTAAGAATTAAAGACTACATTCGATTAAATCATAAAATATTCCAGATCAAGTAAAAAGAAATTTATAGAATGCAGAGAGTCTTCGTCGATAAATCGAGAATCGATAAATCGTCAATTTCACCATATTTTTACTATATACCATATATATTTATTTTTATATATACCATTTTTATTTTTTTATATATACCATATACCATATATTTACTATATCGTTCACCATACCGTCGATTTTACCATATATTTACTATATATTTGAATATAACATTCGACAATTAGAGCGCATTGTTATCTAAAAACTTGGTCGTTTTTGTACAAAAGGAAAATCCCGACAATAGAATGCCAGACGAAATCCAAGGCAATCGAAATCAAAGCCAGCTGCGGTGGAAATCCCTTCCGCTGCCTAATTCCCTAGCGCCAACCACAAGGGAGGATATCGTCGCGTCCCTTTCAAGAGAGAAACATGTACGTGTAAAGGTCGCTAGGAAAGGGTGACGTCGACAGGCGGCACGATTGATGATTGGTTAAAAATCCCAAAAGTAATCCACCTTCCAGAGAAGCAAATGCTTCAAATTTAAAGCGATGGATTCCACTCGAGAGTCAACGTACTTGTACAATACTATGCGATACTCTGTTTAGTAATCCCAAATTATGGAATGCCAAAACTTGTACATTTCACTTGTTTGTTGGGCAAAAGGAAAACCGAGAGAAGGAAAATAATTATTGTACTAATTTAATACTGACAGTAGTATTAAATCACCGATTTCTTGTACAGATGTATGTTCTACTTATTTGAACGTAATTAAAAGTTTTTTTTTTTTCGATAAAATCGTTGCTCGAAGCATAATTAATTAAAGTTTAACTGGCATTGTTAAATCGTTAAACACTGGAATAATTTACTCGGATTGAAATTTTCAATTTGACTTCTATTTCGACTTTTATTGCCAAAGTTTATTGCATGATATGTAAAGTATCTCTCAAATAATTTACTTTGCTATTATTTATTGAATAATTTACTCGGATTCAGAACTTTTATTACCAATATTTATTATAAGAATATGTAAAGTGCCATTTCTCAAACAATTTATTCGAATTCAAACAATTTTTAATTTGACTTTTATTTCAACGTTCATTATCAATTTTTATTATAAAAAATGTAAAGTATTTCTCAAACAATTTACTCAAATTCGACTTTTATTATCACATTTATTATAAAAAATATATGCGATGTACTTTAAACAATTTATTCATATTCAAACAGTTTTTAATTTTTACTTTTATATTTCAAATTTTATCACCAATCTTTATTATAAAAAAATGTAAAGTATCTGTCAAACGATTTACTCAAATTCAGAACTTTCAATTTGACCTTTCGTCATCAATATTTATCACAAAAAAGAAAATGCAAAGTATCTCTCAAGCAACTTCACTGGGATTTTTCAGAATTTTCAATTTTCGACTTTCATCACCACTCTTTAATGTGTAAAAAAAAAACTTAAAGTTTTCTTGAACAACTATTTTTATACGTTCTAGTTTATTTTTTTTCAAAGGGAGTTCATCGAGCACCGTCCTGCCAACAGAGATCTTTGCGAGGCAAACCTATCAGCCATCGAGTCCGCAATACTCGTAGAATGGCTAATTGACTAATTAGCGTCGGCAGTGAAACAGAACAGGTGTTCCCAAGTCCGACTGTACACAGATTACCGGAGTTCACGTGCTCGGGGAGTGTTTCCGATCCCATGACTTAAAGCGAATACAACGCGGAAATTAGTACGGATTATAATAGAGCCAAGCAGCTTACAAGGACAGGCAATATTCGCGAAAAACAATTTGCCGGCTCGTTAGCGGTTGTTAACATGCTAATTCTATATACGTGTAGCATCCATTAGCCCGCGAGCAAACCAGCGCGGGAAACTTATCCCGCCGTCGACGAAACTTAAATCCCTTTAAACTTAGTCTTACGCGCGGGGAACGACCTGTGAGTTATAATTAAGAATCGGTCGGGTTTGGTAAATTATTTTCCCTTTGGCGAACAGAGAAAGAGAGAGAGAGCTGCGAACAAGCTAATTACGCGCCGCGGGAACTCTGCTCGAAAACCGAGGCTTTAATGGCCCTGTTACGCAACCTATTCATCGCAAGCGTTCGGACGATTTCTAATTAATTAGTGGCAGACCTCTGGCAATATTCCATTTGTCGCGAGCTATTCTATCGTGATACTCTCCTGTCTGTTCGTCGAAACGGAGAGACAATTACAAATGCGGGAACATTCGTCGTTCGAGTCACGATAACCGTTGATCGCGCGTAAGGAACGACGATACACACGCTAATTCTGTGTATAAGAAGGCTCTTCATTTCTGTGCTTAACTGTTGCTCTTGCAAAATGACGAGTGAGGGAGGAAACGGATACCTAAATGTAGACTACACTCAGTGAAATTTGCCGCAAAATTTCGCAGTAATCGAAAGATTGGGGGAAAGTTTTTCGAACGAGACTAGAAGATAAAAATAATAAATTGAAACGATAACGATAAATAATAAGCTAAACAATGATAAATTATAATTGAAAAATTGTGGTTGCTCAAGATCATTGGAAAATTATATATTTGATATATAGTTTGATTATAAATAAAAAATATTTATTTGTAAATAGATAAAAAATAAATTTGATTGTAATTTGATATTCAAGTTATAATTACTTAAAGTCAATCTTAACAACATCGATAATTATTTTAGTATAATGATATAATATAATAATTTCATAATAATTATAATGTAATAATACGATATAATAATTTAATAATAATTATAATATAATAATATGATATAATAATTTAATAATAAATATAATATAATAATATAGTATAATAATTTAATAATAATTATAATATAATAATATAGTATAATAATTTAATAATAATTATAATGTAATAATACGATATAATAATTTAATAATAATTATAATATAATAATATGATATAATAATTTAATAACAAATATAATATAATACTATAGTATAATAATTTAATAATAATTATAATGTAATAATATAATATAATAATTTAATAATAATTATAATATAATAATGTAATAACAATTATAATATAATAATATAATATAATAATTTAATAATAATTATAATATAATAATATACATAATAATTATTAAGCACACAAATTTTTAGAACCTCTGCATGATAATATAATACTTTAATTTCCTCATTTTAAGCTACTTTTACAAAAAAAGTAGCCACTCATGCGAAATATCGCTGGCCTAGTGTTAACATCTGACGTCATTAGTCCTCGGTCCGTGGTTTCTTCTACATCGAGCGGAAGTCAAAATGGACAAGAGTGTAGAGTGTCTTGTTAAAACCAGGCATCCACAGTTGCTTTTCGAGGATGGATTTATAAGCGATATCGACACTGTGGAGACACGGAATGTCGAACTCGCGTGAAATTACATATCCCGTGGGACGACCATCTACTCTTAGGTAAAATGTTCTCCGCAGCGTTGGCAGCGCATCGTAGACGGTAAGACTAACGAAATTTCGCCGGTGGCCTAATTCGCCGGCGAAATTAATCGCAACTCTTGGCGAACAGTCGCCGAACGATTTTGTCGGATTAAACATTGAAGGATACTGTATATGCGCGCGTAATGGCTAGACCGTAGACGTATATAATTTATATTCCTATGAATACGAATATAGTAATACAGAAACAGGTTTTCACGCACTCGTAAATTTACGTTTGCGAACATAAGTTCCTCAATTGGCTTGGAAACGTGTTAACGATTAGTAGAATTAATATGTGTGAGTATCTATTCTCTTTTCTTTTTTTTTTTTTCTGTTTCATAAAAGTGCTTATATT